GCCTCCCCTGGAGTTGTCTGGGGGTTAGAAACTGGAGCAGGCTTCCCTTGCCAGCCTCTGGGGGAAACCAGACCTCCCAGTTCTTAAAGCGGCAGACGCTGCAAGAATCTGCTCCGTCCCCTGCAGCTGCCCTCGCCCTTGGGGCCGCGAGTCAGAGACAGCAGTGCCTCCACGTGGAGGGAGGACTCAGCCCAAAGTCCCCAGCTGGCTGCCCTGGAAGGTGGAACCCTCTGTGCCCAGCTCTGGGTTGACGAGTCTTTTCCCTCCTTCTCCGGCTTCTGAGAAGCTGACTGCTGTATATCCCAGAGTTTCTCAGCCTTGGGACTATTAACATCCGGGACCTGATCGTTCTCCGTGGCGGGGGCTGTTCTGTGCATTATAGGATATTTAACAGCATCCCTGTTTCCACCCACCAGCTGCCAGTAACACTCCTCCTCCAAGTCGTGACGACCAAAAATTTCTGCAGAATTTGCCAAAAGTCTCCCAGGATGGGGCTGGGGGCATGCCCAGTTAAGAGCCGCTGGAAGACCCTCATTTTACAAAGAAGGAAACTGAAACAAGGAAAGTTGCAGTGTCCAGGGCCTCTTGACCAAAAAGTGGCAGAGCTGAGTTCCAACTCCAGCGCCCACACATTTTTTGTGTTTTTTTGGCCACACTGCCTGGCTTGCAAAATCTAAGTTCCCCGACCAGGGAGTGAACCCCGGGCCGGGCCTGAGGACAGCTAACCAGGGGACTGCCGGGGAATTGCCTCAGGGTCCACATTGTTAACCTCAAGGCGAGAGTTCCAATGATCACCTATTTATCTTAATGAATGTTTTATACGTAAATCCTCAGCTGTGCAAAATCAGCAGTTTTGCAAAGATTATGTCTTAGGACAAGGCTAAAACAAAAGCGGGTAAGTAGCGTTTGTTGTTTTTTATTCTTAAGGGGAGTGTAGTATCAGTAGCTTCCCAGGTCCACTAGTGGTAAAGACCCTGCCTGCCAGTGCAGGAGGTGTGAGCGATGTGGGTTCGATCGCTGGGTCCCACGCCAGTATTCTTGCCTGAAAAATACCGTGGACCGGAAGTGTTGCAACGAGTCAGACACGGCTGAGAGACTGAGCGAGCAAGCATATCGCACAGGGAATGCTCCTTAATGCTCCGTGGTGACCTGAATCGGAAGGAAGTCCAAAACGGAGGGGCTACATGTGTATGTGTGACTGCCTCACTCAGCTGGCACAGTAACAACGAACCCAACCTTGTAATGCAGCTATACGCCAATAAAAATTAATGAAAAGTAATAATTTAGGGACACATACATTTGTATTAAAAACTATACTGAAAGGGAGCGAGGATAAAAATTCTGATTATCTCAGGCGTGGAGAAGGGCACACCCGAAGTGTCAGTGTTATTGCTCCGTGCCCTGTTTTTTGGGTGGTGGGTTCACAGGTGTTGGTTTGATTACGGTTCATAAATGTACATAAATTAGGTCTACTTTTGTATGTGTCAGATATGTCATTTTAGAAGGCTACTATAGATTTTTACTTTTTTAAAATTTATTTTTATTGAAGTATAGCTGATTTACAATGTTGTCATTCCAGTGTACACCAAAGTGATTCAATTATACATATATAATTTTACTTTTTCAGTGAGTGCTAATCAAGAAATAAAAACACAAAAGTTTTCTCTTTTCTTTTTACGATATGGAATATGTCAGACAGCTATGCGTGCATGCTAAGTCGCTTCATGGTGTCTGGCTCTGTGCAACCTTATGGACTGTAGCCGGCCAGGCTCCTGTGTCCATGAGATCCTCCAGGCAAGAATACTGGAGTGGGTTGCCATGGCCTCCTCCAGGCAGCTAGAGCGGAAAAGAAACAGAAACCAAAAAACAAGAACGTGGTGGAATAACTGAGGCTGCAGAAGTACCGCGTGGCGTGACACTCCCTTTCATCTTCCGAGCTGGCCTAGAAAGACACTAGAGCCCCCCTGCTACCTGCGGTACCCCCAGCGCCTTGCAACATGCCTCAGTCGTCGAAGATGGCTAACAAATAGTAGCCAAATAGAAAACTGACTCTGATCCTGACCTTTCCATGGGTTCTCCGAGAACTTGAGCCCCAGCCAAGAAACACCACGGGAACCAGCTGTCCTAGGTGCTGGGGGTGTAGAGATGACTCTCAGAACCCATTCCTGTCCCCTCCAAAGATCACAGGTTCTGGGCGGTGATGCACGCACACACACACACACACTCACACACACTCACACACCTGTCACAGGCTGTGTGTGCTAAGTACCCCCCAGTCTTGGCAAAATGATGAGGGAGCCCCGTGGAAAGTGGCTGGCCCCTCCAGGGATGACCTCTGTAGAGAGAGGCCATGTGGGCTGGATTTTAAAAGACAGATTGGGATTCACTGGACAGAGAGGAAGAGGCACAGACCTGCACGACTGACCCACAGTAGCGTGTGATAAGCGAAGCCTGGAACCTGGGTACCTGCGGCAGGAGAGACCAAAGAGAGGAGTCAGAGTTCAGCCGGAGGGACTGGCCAGCCACGCGTCCCGATCGCAGATTCACTGCAGCGGCCTGAACCCTCTCGTGCTCACCCAAACAGCACTGGTGTTTCCTTTCAGGATATGGCAGGCAGTTTCAGGTCAAGGGTGAGAAGCGGAGAGTAGCCAGCAGCTCGAATGCTGGGGGGTCTGGGCTGACAGGGTGGTGTGTGCTGAGCTATTTCCCCGGTAATGACAGCGGGCATTTATTAGACACCCACTGGGTGATGCTGGAAGCTGTCCTGATGGCTCTGTGTGTGCTCACCCATTTAATTTCACAGCAGCTCTCTGAGGTAGACACTGTTATCATCATCCCATTTTGCAGATGAAGAAACTGAGGCTTAGAGAGGTTAAATGCCCGGCTCAAGGTAAGACAGTGGAAGCTCTGAGACTCGAACCCGAAACAGCCTAACAGCAGAGCCCCAGCTCTTAACTGCGGCCCTCTCCGCCCGTTTCCAGATCCTGTGTCCTCTCTGCTCCTTCTCTCTGCCTCTTCCCTTTAATCCCTGGCTTCTCCCAAAGGTTCAGCTTTCTCTGTTTTTTTTTTTTTTTAATGGCTTTTCTGATCCCCTACAACTTGGGAAAAAGTTGCTTAAGGCTTGGGCTTATCATGAAGCTGGTTCAGGCCTAGATGGTGCTCGACCATTTAATTCAGAGGCTCACCATCCCCATAAACTTCTCTCCCCTGGATCCCTGAACTCAAATCTCCCATGGTGGACTGGCTCAGCCCAGCCTGGATTTTCTGTCCATCCCTGAGTCACTCAGTGGTGGTCAGGATCAAATAATACAGGCATGGAGCCCTCACCCCCACCCCCAGCTCTTCAGCAGAGGCAGAAGAAAGAGAGGGGCAAGCTTATGAGAAAAGGACAGTTTGGGGGAAGAATGAGGAGGGCTGATAGATAAGTTTAGGAGTTTATATTTTCTCCCGAAGAGGCCTGGAAATTTAGTAAGCAGGAGAGTGATGTGATTGGATTTGTATTTTTTTGGAAAAAAAAAAAGACGACAGACACCAGAGCAATGTATTACATCTGCTTGCATTTCTGCCTAAGCTGTAGTCTAGCCTAGGTTCTATTAATTTCGATAAGCATCCAATGAGCCCAAATATCTGGAGTAGACCCTTTTCTCTCTCTTTTTCTTTTTTTAAAATTTATGTATTCATCTTATTTTTGGCTGTGCTGGGTCTTGGTTGTTGTGCCGACTTTTCTCTGGTTGCAGAGGGCAGAGGCTGCTCTTTACTTGTGGCGCACCGGCTTCTCATTGCAGAGCATGGGCTCCAGCGCTCTCGGGCCTCAGCAGTTGCAGCGAGTGGGCTCATCAGTTAGGGTTCCTGGACTCCAGAGCGCTCCAGCCCAGCCTCTCTGCACCATGTGGGATCCTCCTGGACCAGGGATTGAACCCACATCCTCACTACCGGCAGGCAGACTCTCAACCACTGAGCCACCAGGGAAGCCCCCAGACCCTCTTGTTGATTCAGGAAACTCAAAAGTAGTTAAACTGTGATCCTTAGCCTCAAAAATTCAGTCATGGTCTGGAATTACTAACATGAGACCAGGATGTCTATGCCTCCCTGAAAATCATCTGCAAAATCTTGAGTGTTTAGCAAAAAGGTCTGTAGTTTTTATCTCTTTTCTAACATAACCTTAAGAGCTCGTGTACTGGGGGCAGACTAACCCAGGTAAATAAATATCCTGGCTCTGCAGCTGACTAGCTTTGGAAGCCTAGGTTTCCTCATCTCTTCTCTGGAGTTATAATACGATAATGGGATTGTTGTAAGAGTGAAATAAGGGGACTTCCCTGGTGGTCCCAAAGCAGGGGATCCAGGTTTGATCCCTGGTCAGGGAACTAGGTCCCACATGCTGCAACAAAGGCCTGTAACAGCCAAATAAATATATTTTTAAAAAAGAATGAAATAAGGAGCTTCATGGAAAGTGACTAGCACAGTGCCTAGCATACAGTGAACACTCGATAAAGGGTAACTTATTATCACTAGTATCATGTCAGGAAAGCTGTACCCCACTCCATAATAGTTATGAACCACTGGTCTAGATCACGAGACAACAAACTATGACTTGCAGGTCGAATTCAATCCACTGCCAGTTTTTGTAAATAAAGTTTTATTGAAACAGATAGGTTCATTCATTTTTGTGCTACAGCTGCATAGTTAAGTGGTGGCAACCAAGAATTCATGGGCTTTAAGGTCTTAAATATTTACTATCTGGCCCTTTATAGACAAATTTGACTGACCCTTGGGCTTGATGATTAGCTTTAAACCATTTCAATTCTCTGCATCAGTTTCCAAGTCTATGTGATAAATGGATTTGGATAAATAATCTTTTACTCTCAAGCATCCAGCCGTTAGCTAATTGATGAGATATGACAATGCTCTTGAGCACTGAGGAATGTCTTGCAGACCCAGAGTATTAGGATGACCATCCTATTGGTGGTTGTTAACTAAATCCCACTCTCTTCTCCTCACAGATCCTTGCCATAATTTCCATCATGTTCATCGTCCTCTCCACCATTGCCCTGTCTCTCAACACCCTGCCCGAGCTGCAGAGCCTTGACGAGTTCGGTCAGACCACAGACAACCCCCAGCTGGCCCACGTGGAGGCTGTGTGCATCGCATGGTTCACCATGGAGTACCTACTGAGGTTCCTCTCCTCCCCAAAAAAGTGGAAGTTCTTCAAGGGCCCGCTCAACGCCATTGACTTGCTGGCCATTCTGCCGTATTACGTCACCATCTTCCTCACTGAATCCAACAAGAGCGTGCTGCAGTTCCAGAACGTCCGCCGCGTGGTCCAGATCTTCCGGATCATGCGTATTCTCCGCATCCTTAAGCTGGCACGTCATTCCACTGGCCTCCAGTCCTTGGGCTTCACCCTGCGGAGGAGCTACAACGAGCTGGGCTTGCTCATCCTCTTCCTCGCCATGGGCATCATGATCTTCTCCAGCCTTGTCTTCTTTGCTGAGAAGGATGAGGATGACACCAAGTTCAAAAGCATCCCGGCCTCATTCTGGTGGGCCACCATCACCATGACGACTGTTGGGTATGGAGACATCTACCCCAAGACTCTCCTGGGGAAAATTGTGGGGGGTCTCTGCTGCATCGCGGGGGTCCTGGTGATTGCTCTTCCCATCCCCATTATTGTCAATAACTTCTCCGAGTTTTACAAAGAGCAAAAGAGGCAGGAGAAAGCCATCAAGCGGAGAGAGGCTCTGGAGAGAGCCAAGAGGAACGGCAGCATCGTATCCATGAACATGAAGGATGCATTCCCCCGGAGCATAGAGATGATGGACATTGTGGTTGAGAAAAATGGAGAGAATGTGGGTCAGAAAGACAAAGTGCAAGATAATCACTTGTCTCCCAACAAATGGAAATGGACCAAGAGGACACTATCTGAAACCAGCTCAAGCAAATCCTTTGAAACCAAGGAGCAGGGATCACCTGAGAAAGCCAGATCATCTTCTAGTCCTCAGCACTTGAACGTCCAGCAGTTGGAAGACATGTACAACAAGATGGCCAAGACCCAATCTCAACCCATTCTCAATACTAAGGAGTCAGCCATCCAGAGCAAACCAAAGGAAGAACTTGAAATGGAGAGTATCCCCAGCCCCGTGGCCCCTCTGCCGACTCGTACAGAAGGGGTCATTGACATGCGAAGCATGTCAAGCATTGATAGCTTCATTAGCTGTGCCACAGACTTCCCTGAAGCCACCAGGTTCTCCCACAGCCCTTTGGCATCACTTCCCAGCAAAACTGGAGGTGGCATGGCCCCAGAGGTTGGCTGGCGGGGAGCTCTGGGTGCCACTGGTGGTAGGTTCGTGGAGGCCAACTCCACCCCTGATGCCAGCCATCACTCCACTTTCTTCATCGAGAGCCCCAAGAGTTCCATGAAGACCACCAACCCCTTGAAGCTTCGAGCTCTTAAAGTCAACTTCATGGAGGGCGATCCCAGTCCATTAGTCCCCATTCTGGGGATGTACCATGACCCTCTTAGGAACCGGGGGGGTGCTGCGGCAGCTGTGGCAGGGCTGGAGTGTGCCACCCTCTTGGACAGGCCTGTGATGAGTCCAGAGTCCTCCATCTACACCACAGCGAGCGCTCGGACACCCCCCCGGTCGCCAGAGAAACACACAGCAATAGCATTCAACTTCGAGGCTGGCATCCACCAGTACATTGACGCGGACACAGATGACGAAGGGCAGGTCCTCTATAGCGTGGGCTCCAGCCCTCCCAAGAGCCTCCACGGGAACACCAGTCCCAAGTTCGGTGTGGGGACGAGGTCAGAGACGAACCACTTTGAGAGCTCCCCCTTACCCGCCTCCCCTAAGTTCTTAAGGCAGAACTGCATTTACTCTACAGAAGCATTGACTGGAAAAGCTCCCAGTGGTCCAGAAAAGTGCAAACTTGAGAACCACATCTCCCCGGACGTCCGCGTGTTGCCGGGGGGTGGAGCCCATGGAAGCTCACGGGATCAGAGCATCTGAACCACCCCCACACAGAGGAGAGACTTCTGGCGGGGTCCAAAGAGGGGTGCTGTTCAGCTTACCTGCGGCGGAGGTTTTCTGCATGAACTCTGAAACAGAAAGGCTCTGCAAAGCCCCCAGAAAGAAGAGAGACTCCAGCGGAAGCTCCCTTAAAACCTTGAGAGCCATTATCGGGTCCATCAGAAGCAAAGCCGGCCAAGCCGTGGGGTATGGCGCCTCCTTGCAACAACTCTACTGCCCTCTTTGGAAGATGACAAGAACAGAGCTCGCAGCCACCGCTACCACATTCTAGACACCACCGAGGCCACCTACTCATTCTTCTCTCGTGGCTGTCCGCCACAGCCTCCGAGGGCAACATCTTCATCCCTCCTGGCTTCCGCTGAAGAAGGATGCTGGAACAGGTGGCCGGTGTTCGAAGCGTGGGTTGGCCATTTTGGTTTGGGATGTTGCCTGGCCACCTCTAGGAACTTCTGTCCATCACCTGCTGGATGGACCCCACTGTTGGAAGGCTACAGGGGATGCTCATGTCCTGCGGAAAGCTTCATCGTAAGCCAGGATCCCAGCGCAAAACCCTTCCTCAAATGTCTTCATTGACTTCAGTATTCCATAGTACCTGAGATTTTATTTTGAGATATCATCAGGGTGAGTTGCACCACTTGTACTCAATTCTAATTGCCCCCTGGCAATCTGGAAAGGGTTCAAAAGGAGGGTGCTCAGGCAACAGTATGAACTCTGAGCATTGCTTTAGGGTGGAGAAGAAAAATGCTTTCTGTACATCGCTAGCGTAGACTCAAAAGATATGCAAGTGTCAAATATGCAAAAGAATAGCTTATTCAAAGCGACTGTATGTTACCGAAGAACAGAATAAAATCTGATTTTTTTTTTAACCTGAAAAAAACAAAAGGAAAAAAAAAAAAGTCCCCAATTGAAATGCCCAGTTCAGACTTTTGAATCCTTCCTGCTGAGGCAGGGAAAATACTTATTATAATAGAATTTCTTTTTTGTTTTCTGTGGTATTTAAGTTTTAAGAAAAAAGTTAAAATAAAAAGCACTTTATGTTTTTCAAAAAAAAAAAATAGGTTTTACCAGGGACAGTGCCAACATCTCGCACTTTAAAACAAGCATGATTTCCCGTGGGCCACTTCACTGGGACTACAGCTGAGTTTTTGCTCCAGGCATGTGTCTGGCCACGGTGGGTGATACTGTGCTGGTATTGCTGTCAAAGTCTGTGGGTTCCTTCCCTGCCCCCCTGAAGCTTCCCCTTAACCCTCTTGCATCAGAAAGGGTACTTGGCCCTTGCGTGGGGTCCTGTGCTTAAGTCACATGTATAGGAAGCACGAACATCTCAGAAGGATGATGTAGACAGTTGGGCATTGGGTGTTGTACTCTGTTCTCTTTCTCGTCCACCAGGTGTGGGTATGTTCTCAGTGTCACTGTCTGTACTCCCAGCTCAGCTCTCCTCCCTGCAGCCATCAATGCAGCCAGTACAGACAAAAGCAATAAGTATTCGTGTGCATTGTGAGCGGTTCTGCTCGCTCTCTCTCGGTGTTGGTCTTCCTGTCTCAGTTTGATGACCTGGCGTCGACCCGCCTGATTTTAGTTCAGCAGCATGGTGGTGCTGGTCACTCCCCAGTTCGGGAACACTGGGTGGAGCCGCTGGTTAGCACGATGCCGTGCTGCTGGCCGGTCTGTTAGTGAAAACAACACATTATTGATCTACTTGTCTTCAGGACAAAGGCACGATGTCGTTCTCCTAACACAATGTTGATGGATGACGTCCCAAGTACAATAGCGTAGCTCTGCCGATCCTCAATATAGTGCCAGGCATTCGTCTTCCTGATGGGACAAAACGTGATTTGCCTGTCCTTCGTAGAATCTGTTGTTGGTCTGCCTGTTAGTACAATGGCACAATCCACCTGTCAGTACACAAGCATCACAGAGTCGTTCTGCCTGCCCTCTGCACAGTGGCATGAGACTGGGCCACCTGTCACAGGTATGATGACACGGGGTCATCCCACTGCCCTTAAAAACGCTGTGTCCTCTGCTGCATATGCACCCGGTTCGTACTGCTTCTCAGCATCTCCAGGGACTGTAGATCCCTCCAAGAGGGCGCAGTCCTGTTTTTTGCTGCGTTAACACGGTGTCTTGACTCCGGAAGTACCAGAGTACTCTTGCATCAAATCCTAAGGGATTTAAGGGGCAGGGAGTACGAGGTGTTCCCGGGCTGGTGGCTCACCGGAAGGAGGAAGCGCAGGGCCCCCCAGGTGCTTTGCTGAGCACACAGTCCAAGCTGGGGGCCGATGGAGGGATAGCTGCAAGGCAGTCTTCCCAGGGCCATCTCTCGTGTCTTTGTTTCCGTCACCATTCTCATCTGCCATCAGCACAAATGTGAAAATTCAGGGAAAACAAACAAATGCTTTTTGATAAAAGTAAATAGTTGTGATTTCCGATTCAGATATTTTTAGAGCTGATGCTATCTGTAAAAATTAATAATAATGATAATAATAATATAGTCTATTTTACATATCAGGAAAGGGAACATGTTTAAATATAGCCATATACAGTGAGAAGGAACTTATCACCCCTTCTTCAAATCGAGGCATTTCATTTGCTGGTTGAAGCAGTCGAGAAGTGTACAGATTAGAAATGATTTTTTTTTCTTTTTTTTTTTTTAAACTAATAACCAATTGGTGCAACTCTCCTTGTAACCAAAGGCCCTATCTGCCTTGCGTGGTCATGCAGGACCTATCCCTTTCCTTCCTCGTGTATTTTGTCTGAACTTAAAGTAGCATTTTATTGAGTCACTTTTGAAGGATGAATTCAGAAGTATCATGAAGAACCTACCTGTTCAGGCTTAATAGCCAGAGTCCTATAGAGTTCTTATAGAAACAGAATAACTGAAATTCAGCATATACTATGCTTAGAAAGTATTGCGTTTTGTTTTGGGTTTTCCTTTTACTTGTGGATGTTATCGTAGGAATATAGTTTTTACCCTGTTCCGATTCAAAATAGAGTATTGTAAGTTTTCCCAGGCCCCCACCTGCCAAAAAGAAACATGCCCAGATTTTTTAAGATGTGTACACCCTACTTGTACATGTACTGTGTATGTGCACTGGGAAATCTACCTAAGGGTCTCCACTGAGAGGCTAACCTTGATAGACTGGTGTTGATGGAGGAGAGAAAAGCAATGGTTTGGAGGCAAATACTGCTTTAACCTGGTGGTCCCACCCATTCCTGAACCAATGAAAGTGGGAGAAAAAAAAAAAACAAAAAATGTTATTTCATCCCAAAGAAATGAATCTAGGGGCTGGAGGTGGATGGATGCCTGGTCCCTTCGGCACATTCAATAAAACTCGTCAAGAATCCCGCCAAACTTCCACCATTATCAAAAAGGGCTAGGGACCAGGTCCAGACACAACTGAGCGCGTGTGTCAAGACACAGGCTACAAAAAAAAAAAAAAGACACAGGCTACAAGGGACAACAAAAACAAGGGACCAGGTAGCTGTGTGCCCTGATCACCCAGGGGACCGTCAACGACCAGCAGAGAGAGGTGGGCAAGCTCTGGAGGAGTCCGTTTATTCACCTTTTTATCTTGGGGTAAAGAAAACCAATAGGACTTCCATGCAGTAGATTTCTCAGTGCCTTCTTTAGGAATTTTATCTTAAGCACACTTAATGGGGAAAGAAAAGAGAGGAAAGAACATTCATTCCCACGAAGCCCCTTTCTCTCGAAGCATCGGGGATCAAGAAGGAAGAAGATGATGATGGTGAAATAGCAAAATCCTGAGGAGGCCATTTCCTTTCAACCCACCTGGCTTGCCCCTGAGAATTGCTGGTGACACAGACTTTTTCAGACTGATTACCCAACCTCTCCTCCGCCGTGTCTTAGTATCTGTAAGCCTCATCCTTGCCCTTTCTCCTAATAAGATCCACGTTTCTAATGAGAAAAACAAAAAACAAAAACAGGATGGTATTCTCTTCTGTAAAACTGTAATGTATTGTTGATGTTTGTAACTATTGTATATTTCTGTCTTGCTCCAAGTCTTGGCTGGAGTGTGTAGTCCATGGGCAGGGGGGGAGTTTAAAATTTACCAGACAAGGGTCACTAAAGCCCAGTCTCTCTCTCTCCCTCTCTCTTTTTCTCGTTTCTCTGCCAACTAACTAGTCTCAAGTAACATGACCCCAAGCTTCAGCCTCCAGTCAAGTAACTTTGAATCCTCTGAGAGGGAGGCGAAAAGCCTCTAGCACATGATCCTTTGAGAAAGGACTTTTTCTACCGCCATGAAGTTGGCAGGAGATGAAAGAGTCCTCCCGTGACTCCCCCAGCAGGACAGTGGAGAACCTCCAGCCCTGAGCTGAAATTTCCTCACCTCCCACTGCTTATATGACAGCATCCAAATGCTTTCACTCAACCCCGGGCGACCCAAACCAGCGCTGGCTACATCCAGAAATAAGAGTTACCTCCGCGTTTTCTGTTACCATTTTTCTGGCTCTAGAAATATCTGATGCGTGACTACGTCATAGGATGTCCGCGCATCTCAGAGTAGTCTATTTTTCTGTTCAAATAAAATATATATATAAGATATATATATGTATTTTTAGCAAATTTATAATTGGGCCATTGAGTCTACTTTCTTCTTTTGTAATACGCAGTAACATCTTAGGAGTTCTATTGTTAGTCTTTATCGCAGCTGATGTCTTCTGGTCTCTTTCATTTCTTCCCATTGTTCCTTGGACTGTTTTTCTTCTTCTTCATTTTTATTCTGATTTTCTGGAGGTGGGGAAAGACTTTGGGGTTCTGACTGTCTCATGCAGGCATTTTCTGCACCAGGCCTAGAATCTGTTGACCTGTTACTTTCCTCATTCTGTCTGTTCTTGTTTATTGTTCTTAAAAATCAAGAGCACAGACACAAGAGTGAGACCAGGGGGAGCAGGGCTACAGATGGCCCTCAAGATCGGGATGGGATGTGGGCAGGTTTAGCTCATCCCCCACACCCTTCTGGGGTTCTAAAGGGACTGAGTTTTCTTCTTCCCAGAGATCTTGGAGTCTAAAATCTCATGCAAGAAAACCTCGCCCTGGCATTTCTGGGATTCAGAGGACACCCAAACCCCTCCTGGCTGGCCTGTCACCACGTCCGGCACCCTGCTGCCCTGTGACATCGATTAGATCTGAAGATCAGAGCACTTCCAGGTTCTCAAAACCCAGAGAAAATCCTGGGCCTCAGATCTCATCCACTTTAAATCAGTTCTGCATTTCAACCCCTGTCCAACAGCCTCACCACCGCCCTCGGTCAGACAAGCTCATAGCCAAATCCTGAGGAGGGACTGTCCCCAGAATCTGCCATCTCATCTCCCCTTCCCTCTCCATCTGCCTGGCTCCACAGAACCAGAGATTCGTGGCAAGGATGGTGGTGTTTTTCCAGTTTCCACCTATCAGGGAGTGTCGGGACGGTACAGATTATTCATTCCACCCGGCGGTTTCCAGGCCTCGGGTGGGCCGGCAACATCTCGTGAAGCAGCATCTTCACCAGAAGATGATTCTCCATCCGTCAGTTTGTGCAGGAAGAGGAAGAAAGCCCAGATCATCTCCAGCGGGCATCTGTAGATTGTCATATCCCACCTGCCTTGCTGGGCAGTGTGCTCTGGCGTCTGCCCAGGTCAGAGATCTGAGCCAAGTCAGGACCCCCCAGATGGCAGTGAACCATCGCCCACTGAGTCATCAACCCCAAGGGGAAACCAACAGAACAACAAACATGTCATTCTGATGTGTATGTTAGTCGCTCAGACGTGTCCAACTCTTTGCAACCCAAAGCAACCGTAGCCTGCCAGGCTTCTCTGTCCATGAGATTCTCCAGGCAAGATTACTGGAATGGATTGCCATTCCCTCCTCCAGAGGATCTTCCCAACCCAGGGACTGAACCCTAAGTCTTTACCATTTGAGCTACATTCTGGGCTAAGACTCTAATCAGAGTTTTCCCACCTCCCCAATTCCAAGTAATCTGGTTTGAAACAAAGCCAAATAAAATAGACAAGATTTAAAAAAAAAAAAAAAAAAAGAAGACTTTTGCACAAGAACAATAGCAACAAAACTGTCTCCCAGCAGTTTGCTAGGCTTGATGGTCAGAGAAGCAAACATTCTTGCCTGTGGGTGTCTGTGGGTGTTTCATCTAGGAAAACGCTGTGTCACTGGGGTTTCCATCCACTGCCCCTGATATTGTCTGAACCTGGAATTTCTCCCGAACTCCCCCAAATGCCAGCTTGAAGAAGTGGATGTGGAAGGGAGTCTGTTCGTCGAGTAGCCCCTCATCTTCACTGCTAACTCTTAACTCTCCATTCCTTCTTGAGGGGATCCTGAAAATATCTATAGGCTGGAGGGAGATGGGATGGAGTGGGGCCGTTGACCTGAAGAAGGGACCACCTAACCACAGGATGGCTGCTTGCCAGCCTCTGCAAGTTTCTCCCGTACAAAAGGGACTTGGCAGTCAATTTCAGCTCGGATCAAGAAAGCCCTTAGCCATAGGCGGGGCTGCCTCCCCATGGAACTTGATGCCATGTCGAGTCATGAGATCTCTGACACCACGGGTGTTTAAAAAGAGGCTACTGGATGTATGATACAGATGTTGCTGAGGGCGCCTAGTACTGCATACCAACTGGACTGAATATCCGGGGAAAGTCTCTCTCCACCACTCCCTCCCCACCCCATTCCAGTGTATGCCTGTATGTGTGTGTGTGTGTGTGTGTGTGTGTGTGTGTGGTCTGAACATCTGAGCACAGGCTTAAGCCACGGGGGCAAAGGCAGAGGGCACAGTTAGCAGAAGCTCAGATTCCAGAGTGTGGAGCTTTCTGAGGGGGTATCAGGGAGGGAAGTGGCAGCAGGACACCCCGATCCTCTCTGCTCCCCGTCTTGGATGATTGTAGTGAGGCCGCTGGTCGCCTGTGCGTCCCCAGTGCCCTGACAGGGACCACACTGTGTTGGGATGAGGCTCGTGCTCCCCTCCTCCAGGCCAGCCACGGAGGGAACCCCCGCTTCTCTGGCTGGCCTGCTCACGGTGCTTCAGCTTCTGCCCAGATCCTGCGCCTGTGTAGGCCTCAGGTTTTCTGTACAAGAGACACAGTTATCTTTTACCCACTCGCCAGCTGCCTAAGGAACCGACTGGCCAGGCAGCGGCAAACAGCATCATCCCCAAAGGGCTTTTTTTTTTTTTTCCAACAAATAAAACAGGAAATCCCATTCCAGACCCTTGAAAGTCCCCACCCAATGAAGGAAGTCCAGAAGGGCCAAAAGGGAGAGACAGCTGCAATCTAGTTTTACTACAAAACGAGGCTTCGGCTACGGCGGCCCGCAGGTAGAACGTCCACATCCAAGGACAGCATTTGACAAAAGAGGTTTTAAATTTCCCCCTAATTGTGGATGGTGGGCCTGGAGGAGCAGGGACTTTGTCCTCAGGGTGACCCCACATCCAGGAAGTCCCAGATTGCTTCATCACAGGATGAGGCAGGGCGAGAGGTTTGGCTGGATAGTCTGAGCAACTGCCTTCCTCACAAACCAAAATTAAACAAAAGCCCAGTTTCCTCGATCCCCCCTGAGGCCCTGTCCTGCAGAAACAGCGCAAGTGGCTGGCTGCCATGATGTGACCATTCTGGAAAATGAAGAAAACTCCCAATTCTGTCCCATTGGGATGCCCTCTGGAGTCCTGCATGGATCGCCACACACTTCCTGCCTCCCTAAGCTCATCCAGGCCTGGAAAACAAGGAAAGAAGCACGGGAAAAGATGCCCACAGGATCTGGACTTCTCAGTGTGGCTCAGGCCCCCTCGTCTTCACTAGGACTTTGGGGGTGTCTCTCCGTAGAGCTTGACATCTGAGCTCAGAGTGCCTGGGGGGTGGGGATGAGGAAGACCAGGAGAGGTCGGGCTGTATGGCCCCTTTGCTCTCCAGGCCTGTCCTGGCTTCAACCCAAGATCAAGGAACTCAGGGTTAGCCCCTAACATATGACTTTGGCACCCAACCTGTGGGTTTTGGTTTTGTTTTGTTTTTTTTGAGTGAGTGAGTAAATGTGAAAATGATTGACTTCCGAGTGAATGAATGGATGAGTGAATGGGTGAATGGAGAGAGTTCATTCTGGGGAGGAGGGAGAAATGGGAGCCCTCCACCACCACTGAAGCCTGTAAGCCCCAGCATTGCCATCTGTTCTTTGACTCGACTGGGGGCCAAGAGGACAGTCAGATTTTCTGCCCTGAGGGTCTCCTCGGAGCTACACTTCCAGGGGCCCCGCGGGGCAGCCCCAGTCTCCTTTCGGCTCCTGCCCTGCATTTTCACCCTCATATCCTACTTTGGCTCACCCTGGCCCATACCACAAGGCGGTTTTCCAATGGGCTAAGCCAAGGGTCCAAGGTCATGGTTTCCCCTGGGCTGGGACTTGCTGGGGGCAGGAATGTGGGAGCTGATATCTGGAAACTGGACTGCATTCCCTGAGCCATGGCAGTTGAGCTGGAAAGCAAGGCCAGCCTGTCCTCCAGCTTTCAGAGCCAAGGGTCTTCCTTTTTTTCTGAGCCCAGTGCCCCCCACCCCCCATGTTAGCATGCTTCCTGATCCTGCCAGCTATGACCCTCTGTCTCTCCCAGGAACCGCGGGGTGAGGTTAGGCTTTTCTGCCAGCAAAGCCATTCTGATCGCCCCACCCATTACGGGGGCCAAGCCAATCACATTAGCCATAAACGACCAACGTCCTTAGCCACTCTTTTCTTGGAGTCACGTTCATGGGTTCTGTTCATCTCTGGTCAGTTGCCGTCTCTAGTCCTTCCTGTAAAGGTGAAAAATAAGCGTCACACACACACACACACACACACACACACACACACACGCACACACGCACACACACAGAGAAACCAAACAACAAAAACCCAGTGTCTTTTTATGCATGTGATGAGATGAAATTGTGACCTCCAGCTGCTGTCCTGTCTTGTAAAATACGTCCAAATGTTTAAGAATTTCTAAGCAAATGGTCCCTTAATGAGTCTGCAGAATTCAATAAAAAGGTATGGAGAAAACAGGCTTGGTGGTTTGTTTTCTGGAGGGCGCAGGGAGGTGAGGATGTGAAGATCTGTAAGGGAGGCTGAACTGGAGAGCTCGGGGACCTAGGGGAGCAGCACTCACTGTCTCTCTCCATCCCAAAGAGAAGCAGCATGGGCATCTAGCTGACTCGACATCCCGGTATGCAAGCGGTGGTAACCCAACCCGTGCTGTGTCCATGCAACTCCTGTTCTGGTCACATGACGCTCATGCCCACCATGCCTGGGTATTCCTGATCTTGATACCTCATAAAAATGTCTCCTAGTACAAGTTACAAGCTCAAATGCCTATAGGAGTCAAGAGGTAACATAAATGAGTAAAGCAACCCAGGTAAGAGACGTAAGGGAGTGGTGGTGAGCGTGGCAAACTTAAGATCACATTTCCTGTCTGAAAGGGTGACCTTGGGACTTCCTTGGGGGCTCGGTGGTTAAAACTTTCTGTGCTTCTAATGCATGGGACGTGAGTTCAATCCCTGGTCAGGGAAACTAAGATCCCACATGTTATGCAGTGCAGCAAAAATAGATAAATAAGTAATTTTTAAAAAAATAAATAAAAGGGTGTACTCTGTTCATCTGCAGCTGGTTGTCACCAAATAGAGATGCAGGCCCAGTAATGCCAGATCTTCAGACTTTTTCAGAGAGGTGAGAAATCTTGATTTTTATGGAAAATATCTTACCTTTTTAGTGTTAACAACTAATTCTATTTTTTTTCCTTTGATCCTGTAGTAGCCAAATGAAAACAGGTGTGGGCAGGCCACCCCTGCTCATATGTTGCCCTTCTGTGATCTTCACCTTGATTGACAGGGCTTGATGATTTCTATATTAGTTATCTACTGCTGTGTAACAAATTACCCCCAAGTTTAGTAGCTTTTAATGTTTATTATCTCACCCAGACATTTATTATCTCACCCAGACATTTATTATTCTCAACCCCAAACGTTTTTGTGGGTTAGGAATTCAAGAGGGTCTTTAGCTGGATAGTTCTGGCTGGGGTGGGGGCGGTATATATCATGAGGTTCAAACAAGACATCAGCTGCAGTCATCTGAAGGCGTGACTGAGGCTGGAAGATCTGACTCCAACATAGTTCATGAGGCCTGGGGTCCCTGCTGGCTATTGGGGGGAGGTCTCATTTCCTCACCACGTGGACCGCTCCACAGGACTTCTTGAATGTTCTGACAGTACGGACAGCTGGTTTTCCCCAGAATGAGTGATCCAGGAAAAAGCAAGGAGGAAGTACAGTGCCTTTTGTGACCTAGTCACAGAAATCAGACAGCGTCACTTCTACCGAGTTCCATTCATTAGTTCATACTCAAGCTGCTGCTGCTGCTAAGTCTCTTCAGTCGTGTCCGACTCTGTGCGACCCCATAGATGGCAGCCCACCAGGCTCCTCCGTCCCTGGGATCCTCCAGGCAAGAATACTGGAGTGGGTTGCCTTTCCGTCTCCATCATACTCAAGAGGAATTGCAAAAAAATAAAAGAGGAATTGCACCTCATAAATAGAGATGTATCAAAGAATTTGTGGACATATTTTAAAGCCACTAAATTTCATTTACTGGAAAGAGTAGTTCCCAACTTTAGAATTTCATAGGCCAATAGAATTGCCTGTTCAGTTTGGGGAAGTACATAAGCCTTGCCAGCACTTTATTTTGTCAAGTAAAGATGTTGAAAGTAACAACCATGTACTATCACTATTTCCTAGTGACACAAAAGATTTCACGTCCCCTCCAAAAATATAATCTCAGAATAAAAGACTGTCCTTAAAAAAAGAATGTTTGTTTCTTCCATAGGTCAGGGTTTCCCAGCCTCGGCACTGTTGACATCCGGGGCTGGATCCTTCTTTGAGGTGGGGGCTGCCCTGCACACCGTGGGATATTTAGCAGCATCCCTGGCCTCCACCCAGTAGGTTCCAAGGACACCCTCTCCTCAGCTGTGACAGCCAAGTCTCTAGACATGGCCAGATGTTTCCCGAGGGGCAAAATCTCTTCAGTTGAGCACCTCTGGAGGAGGTACCAAGTTCACAGTCTGAAAGCTGTGGTGAAAAGTGAAATTTCCCTCACACCTCTAGACCCCCTGGCCCCAGAGGCCCTCACGGCCACCGGGTCCTTGTGTACCTTTCCACCGACATTCTTGGCAAACACGCACGCACAAGTGTGTGTGTGTGCATGTGTGTGTGTGCTGTTTTGTTTTACTCCCCCCGCAAATAGTAACATTTGCACTTTGCTTTTTTCATTTAAAGTATCTTGAAAATCACCCTGTATGAGGACACAAAGAGCGTCCTCATTCTCTCGCAAGCCTGTGTCCTCTTCTGTTGTGCACAGTAATTGTTAGTCTCCCAGAGCTGAGCATTGAGTTTGCTTCCAAACTTTTGCTGTAACAAACAGTGCTGAAATGAACGGCCTGTCAGCGGAGCAGTTCCTGTGGGCGCTGCCTTCAAAATAGATCAGGAATCTGCACTTCTCACCCCTCCGCTGCTATATCGCTCCGGGCCACCTCATCACTGTCTGCGGCCTAACAATTGCAGCAACCTCCAGATCAGGCTCCCTGCTTCTGCCCTTGGTCCCTTTCAGGCTCTTCTCAACACAGTGGCCAGAGGGATCCTGTCAAACTGTCAGTTCGATCACATCACTGCGCTGTCAAAACCTTCCAAAGGCTCCCCATCACGTTCTGCATAGAATCCAAAGTGCTTGGCACAGACTACAAGGCCGCACATCCCCCGGCCCCTGCCTGCCGCTCTGGTTTAGTCTCTGTCTCTCTCCCCTGATGGTGTCCTGCTCCATCGTCACTGGTCTCCTTGCTGTTCCTCAGACACGCCCACCACAGGCTCACCTAGTGATGCAGCTCCTTTCTAGCCCCCTCCCAGATCCTTCCACCCTCTGATCTCCTATCTTATTTCTACCTCCTTCACCACCCCCTCACAGACATTAGGCACCAGCCAACTTTCCAAGACGTCAAGCTCACTTCCACCCTAGGGCCTTTGCTCTGGCTCCCCGCCCCCCTCCCCCACCAGGAACATCTTCTCCAGGCGAG